TCTGCCATCCATCATGGAAAAGGTTGGATCCAAATATACATACATCAAAAATAAAAAGGTACAAACAATGCTTCCTTCCTAGAGAGCTTCCCTGGCAAACCTGGCCCCCAGAGCCTGGCTGCCTCCAGCTCATCTTCCTGTGGTGGAGCCGAGCTCTGGGGACAGCCCAGGCTCCTCTCAGGAGCTCTTCCCTGAAAATGGATTGTTTTCAGCCCATCCTTGATCAAAGGAGGGCCCAAAGGCTTTCCTGGCTGCCCTTGGTGTGGGCTGAGCCTCCCTCCTTCCTCCTCTGCCCCTTCAGACACCATGAACTGAGCCCAGGGCAGAGGCAGCGAGCTGGGGGAGCCTGGGTGGGGTCAGGGTGGGCATTGGGACCCCTCTCCTCTCTGCTTTGGGGCCAGCAGCTCCTTCCCTCCCCAAGGGCCCGTGGGGATTCATTTGTCCACTCGGAATTGCAGCTCCTCAGGGAAATCCTCAGCTCCCACCTGCAGGGGATTAGAGCAGCCACAGGGCCAAATCCCCGTTCATTACCCGGGTTAGGCTGGGTAAATAAATCCTGTTAAGCCATTGGGGCCACGCCGGGCTTACCCGGACAGAAACGGCAGCGCTATAAATAAGGGCTGGCTTTGATTAGGGAAATAAAGGCAGGAAAAAAGCACTTAAAAGATATCCAGAGGAAATGTAAGCTCTCCCCCCCAGTCATGCTGGCAGTGATGAATTAGTCCACGAATGCCAGTCAGAGAGTGAGTCATGATTCATAAATAAATTACAACAGATATTCATAGAATCATTGAATATCCTGAGCTGGGAGGGACCCACAGGGATCACCAATCCTGCTCCTGGCCCTGCACAGGATGACCCAAAATCTGAGGAAATACCTTGGAAATAGGAAATACCTATTCATTTAATCTGGGACATTTGTGACCTGAGATGCCACTAAACACTCGAAATTCAGAGTAACTCAGTGACCCTGCATCAAGCACACATAGTTGATAGAGCTGATTCCTGGCAGTGTGCACTCAACCCTTGCAGACAAACTGCTTTGGAGAAGCTGCTAGATGGGTTTTACAGCCCCTGGGGACAGGCAGGGCAGTGGCAGTGGGTGCTGCCTGTGCCAGGTGAGCTGTGCCCTCCTGAGGATGCTCATTGGTGAGATGATGGCCTTTCCTCCCTTTCTCTTCAGAGCAAGGCTGCCTTTGCAGTGCTGTGCAGTTAAACACTTTCCTGGTGCTCAGAAATAGGAGCTGGGAAGGGAGCTCAGGGCCTTGGCTTTGCTGTTTCACCCCGTCCTGCCTCCCCCAGCCCTGCTGCACTGAGACGCAAAATTATCAGCGGAAGAGTTTATAAAATGTCAAAACAGTTTCTCTGCTGTCAGCCAGACAATTTGTGCAAATGGAGCCTCTCTAAAGAGCCTCCTGCCAGCTCCGAGCTCCCTTTCATCTCCCCAGGATTTATTGAATGCCATTTCCATGGAATTGTAAACCAGTCCGTAAGGAAGAGCGAGGATGGAAAGGTGTGTGCTGTGCAGTGGGGTCCTGGATCTGCTGTCGTTGGCAGGGCTGGGAGAGGCTGTGGGACACAAACCCAGGTGATTTCCTCCCCTCACATGCAGGAGATGGCTCTGCACGGCTCTGCAGGGCTCTGCACAGTTCTGCATGGCTCTGCATGGCTCTGCATGGCTCTGCATGGCTCTGAATGGTTCTGCACGGCTCTGCATGGCTCTGCACAGTTCTGCACGGCTCTCTGATGGCTCTGCACGGCTCTGCCCCAGGCTGGGAGGGCAGCTCTGGGAATGGAACATTCCAGGCAGTCCCCAGTGAGCCAGGGCAGCCCCCTGTCCCTGCCAGCCCCGGGTGATGGGAAGGAAGGGCAGGATAACCCTGGCACGCTGCTGCTGCCCAGGCTGGCACGGATCTGCCTGTGCACAGAGAAGCTGGCATCAAACAGGGCCCTGTGCCAGCTCAGCCCACAGCCACACCCCAAGAGAACCCTAAAAACTCCAGTTACAGTGCAGTTAACTTTAAAACACCCCACAATTTAACCAGTCCAAGCCCCTGTCGTGCAGCCCAGCCCTGTTTGCAGCTGGAGCCCCAGGGCAGCCATGGGGAGCAGGGTGGGATCCCTCCCAGCAAAGGCACTGGGCTGTACTGGTTTGGCTGCCCCAGCTCCTCCCACAGGGACTCAGCAGGAGCAGCAAACTCAGCTCCCTCCAGCTCTGGGGCTTTGGGACCAAATCCTCGGGAGAACCCGAGCCCAGCACGGCTCAGGCTCAGGGAATGGGATGTGGAGGGGAAGAGCTTTCCAGATCTGATTCTCCTCTGACAATTTGCTCTTGACAGCAGCTGAAATCATCTTTGGAACCAGCCCTGCATTCTAAGGACAGTGAACTCTGCCTTTCAGCACAGCGCTGTGTGCCAGAGGAAGGGTTCCTTCAGGTTTGTGCATCTCTGAGAAAAACCAGCAGCGGTTTTCCAATGCCACTGTGCCCCCATTGGAGGGGCAGGGGAAAAAATCCCAAATGGGGAATTTCAGAGGGAAACCCAAAGGGTTCTGCTCCTGCCCAGCCTTTCCCAGCTCTGTGTAGACCAGATTAACACTCCTTTTACCATGATGGGGAAGCTGAGGCACAGTGACAGGACGCTGTCCCCCACGCCAGGCTCCATTCTCTCATTCTGTTCATAATCCAGCAGCCCACAGTCACCCAGCTGTGACTCTGCTCCACACTCACATCCTCCCTCTGCTGCCTTCCACTTCCTTCCAGGCAGGGAAGGGCCAGGACAGAGCTCACCACTCACCACTGCTTGCTTTAGGAGTTTCTTGGGGTTTTCCCTATAAACACTGAATTCTGAAATCCAGAGAAAACCTCCTGCACACCCCCTGGCACAGGAGCAGGAGCTGCTGGGATGTGAGGAAAGGGGGCACAGGTGTGCCAAGGCAGGGAGGTGGCTGTGGCTGGACAGGCTGGCCCTGTGTGAGTGGGGACCCCCGAGCCCCCCGTGCCAGGCAGGGCCCCTTGGGGGGCTCACCCTGGAGAGGCGGCCCTGTGCTCCCCCCAGTGCCCCAAACCCCCCCAGAAC